AATGATTTTTTTAAGGAAAAAATGTTATAGATCAAAATTAAGGAGAGCTTGATGCAATGCAATTTCCAAGTGAAAATCAAACTGTAAAACTTGATAAATGTTTCAGTATGTTTTAACATATGTTTGAACATTACTTAATTTAAAGTTTATGTACGTTAGATATTTGGAAACGCATTCGTTCAGGTTTTCTTAAAAAACAAAATGCTGCGACTCTTTCTCGACATTACCTTGCTTGCAATGGCTGACAAGGGCACCTAGTCAAACAGGCTCGAAAGTGCACTACTACTGCTACTACTAACACTACTATTAAGTTCGGCAATATTATATAATAGATAATTATTATAACGTAAGTTAAAAGTATATGCTCAGCGAATCTTTTATATAACTACCACAGACTAAATATGAAGGGGAAAACCCAATCTGATTGTGTAAATCTGAACTGAGTTTAAAAAACTCTGGGGTGAGTGAAAACATTTGTTATTGAAACCAGATATTTTTTTAATGGAAAAAACTATACAGATTTGAAAGCCTAAAAGTAGGCTCTAAACCGGAAGTATAATTGCAAAACAACAAATACTTTTGTTAATATCTCATTCAATAACTTGTTTTGAAAAGTTTAATTAACTTTATTTACTTATGTTCATCTATGATATGAACACAACTTGTCTCGGCACTTGGGGATCTCTTTAAGTTTTTATCATAAAATGTCAGTTTTAGGTTTTTTTTTAATTTTAAAGACCAAAAAAAATATATTTTTTTAAATTATTATTTGATAGACTGCCTGCCCCAACCAAACCCTCAGTCGATGTAGTAGCACTCCGTTGTGAGTCAGGCTATAAAATATTGTCTATTATTGGATTCAAACAAAATTTAAACACATTCTATTTATACAGTGGTACAATAAAGTTTAAACGAGGACAAAATTTTTAAAATAAAGTTAATTTAAAATCGATCTAATTAAGTTGTTGCCTTGATTTTTATTTTTTTATTTAAATGATTTATTTTATGTTGAAGCAAAAAAAAAAATTGCTCATATTGATTAGAAAAAATGATAATACAGGTATTTGAAACAGGGAGGTTTAAGAGTTCTAAACACTGAGGTTTCGAAAATTGAAAAAACTCTAGACAAAGGTAGCATCATTTTAAGTAGGAAAGATTAAATATGTTTTAAATATGTTTTTTTAAAATATGTTTTAATACTTATTATCCTAACTCATATACTTGATTTACTATTCAACATCACAAAGATTTGTTTATACTGTTAGCTAACAATTTAAAAAAAGCATTTACAATCATCCAAAGTTTTAAATTTATAATTATAAATATTCACTATCTTATTTTTCAATCTTTAAATTATTACTGCTGATTCAGCAGTAATAATTCAATCAATTTGGTGAAATCAGTAAGAAAATATACTTGTGTATATATATGAAAGCTGAAAACAAAAATACATAAAAATAAAGAATTAAAACTTTTAATTCCTTGTTTTTATGTATTTTTGTGCTAACAACTAATATTAACATCTTTTAATTAAAAATAATAGTTGAAAACATTAACTAATACTATATAGCCTATAAGTCTTTGTTAAATTTAAAAAACATCAAAGTTTTATGCAAGAAATTGGACATATGAGCTCTATGAGGACACATTATCAATCAACTCTGACAAAAGGTACGCTCAACAGGAGCTGATGTTGCAGGGACACAGAAATAATTGTCAATTATATAGATTTCTAATTTTTGAATTTTGTTTAATTGTGTACAGTTTTTTTTTATAAAAAAATCTTTTTAGTTAAATTTTAGTGATTGATTCATTCTTTTATGTGAAAATGATTTTTTCTATTATTTGCAAAAAAGTATATATATATTTTTTTGGTAAAGGGCTTTTAAATCTGAGGTGTAATACCTTTTTTAGTCAATGCGGTTTCTGGTGCTGTTCTCTTGACCAAACTATCAAATTAAACTATTGCTTAATGATTCAAAAGTGGATTTTATAAATAAAATTATTTAAAAAACTATTAAATATACAGTACTAACAAATTTTTTTAAAGGATTTAGATAAGTTGAACAAAAAGTTTATAAATAAATAGTTACTTTAAAATAAATTATAATTTAAATATAATGAAAACTATTTTAATTCAAAAAACCTTTGAAATTCTGCTTTTAATTTTAAGAAAAAAATTCACTTGTTTGAATCTTTTTTTTAATTTTTGAAAACGTTAATACGTATCATGTGACTTAATATATAGATGTAATAAATTCCCATTAACCAATCATTCAATTGATTATTGCTTTAAAATGGCTAGTCAAAACCAGCTATTGAAACTATGACATTAAACACAAAATTAAGTTCTAAAGCTTTCAAGTACACTAAATCGCTTGTAAAATTTTTAAAATTCAAACAAAAAAGAAAAGGTGGAAGCAAAAACAATAAAGGCCAAGGCCATAAGTTTCAATGCCAAGACCAAGGCCAAGCCCTTCATTTTTGGCCTTAGGGTTAGGGCGAGGCCAAGGACTAACAAGTCTGTATAAGATAGATAGTAATAATAATAATAATAATAATAATAATAATAATAATAATAATAATAATAATAATAATAATATGCTAGTATTATAATAATATAAAGTCAATTTAAAACAAATTTGTTAAAAACAAATTTGCTTTAAATTTTTAATGAATTAACTGTACTTCTGAACTCCTGTATTACATTGTAGGATAATAACTAAAGTTATTAGTTGAAGATAACTTATGAAGGTTCCTTGAACTAGCTCTTTTTTGATCAAAAATGTTACCTGCCTCTGAGAATAGTCTCGTTTTAAATGTTACTTAAAGTTTAAATAATTAAAAAGTATAGCCTAATTCAGTAAACATTTCAAGTTTAACCAGTAAACATTTTATTCAGTAAATATTTCATGCTGGAAAAATATAAAACAAAGAAATAATTTTAAATTTAAATATTATGCCGCTTAAAACTTTCAATAAACAAAATTATAAGAAACAAATAAAAACAAGAATCAAATTAATGAAATAGGTTTTTATATTCCAGCTAGGATTTTGTTAACAATTCTGCCAAATCCGGTTCTGGCTGTTATTCAAAATTTCCATTTGGTACACCCTTGTTGATATATGATTTACAAATCCGATTAACATATGAAGCTCTGGCAAATGAATGACTTCAAGAACTATTTTTGACTTGTTTTCCTCCTTTATTAGGCATATTAATATATCTTTCATGTCAAGATATATTAATTTGGTTAATAATATAAAAAATTATTTTGTTATTATCAAAAAGATTTTTTTTAATTTTTAAATTAAATGATAATTAACATTTATATTCTTTCATTTCAGAACTTTGATAACTGGCTTCCATGTATCTCTGATATCATAGATCCAATGATAAAAATGTTCTCATTAACCCACCAAAAAGCTTACATTCTCCTTCACACCAAGCACAAGCATACTTACCGCCATGAGACTAAATTTGTTTACGTTTTTTTTAAAACTCCAATAACTTACTGATATTCCTAGAAGAATATTAATTATTTTTAAATCAGCTGCAAGAATATATTTACTATCTTCAAGCTTTAGAAAATTTGATAAAATGGCTAAACTTTTGTCTCCTGGATGTTGTCACAATATGCAAGAACCACATAATGGTTAATTCCAGAGTATGTTCTGGGAGAACTTTGATTTTTGCATCATTCTTTTTCTGGATCAAAGAGGTTTGAAAAAAAACCTTGAACAATCCGCAACCTAAAAAATATTTTAGGTGGCAGATCAATAAATTCCAATTTGGAATTGATTGATCTGCCATCAATTCCAATCAATTCCAATTTGTATTAATGTTTGGTAAAGGTTTTGCTTTCTGTAAGTCATTACAAAGTTAAGCAGCTTGGTAAATCGAGAAACATAAACAAGGTCTCTTGACATTTTTTTTTCCTTCTGCAATAACTGTTTTTACATCATAAATCTATCACATTTAGATAGGATTTTACTTTTTTGGTAAAGTTTTTATTCAAAATTTGCCTTAAATTGAATTCCACTTTTCCTCAAAGATTTTCAGAAGGATCTGTGATTTTATTTGACCTAGTCCAAGTCAAATAATCATTGTTTTAGTTTTTTCAAATTCGGCTTTCCTACTAACTCATAACAGCATAACTAAAAAATAAATCGTAAATAAAGAATCCTAAAATATATATGAAAGAAAACAACGGATCTGCCTATCTTTTTTCGATGTATAAATAGTTTTTTTTTCCGTTTTCCATTCTTTTTATTTATTTCATTAACTTTTTTCTTTTAACTTCTATTTTCAATACTTTTTAACTTATTTTCTTTCAAATATTTTTTTAAAATTTTTAAAATTCCTATTAACTGGGACTTCAGCTAATAAATTAATAAAACTTCTCTTAAAGATTCTTTTTTTTTAATTGCTCACACAAAAAAATTTATTTGAACAAAATTTTATTTGACCTAACTTTATTGGACCACTGTAAAGACATGTGCAATACGTTGTAAACTGTTCACCATAAAATAAGTTCTTAATAAAATAAAAACTTTTTCTTTGGAAAGATCTGAACTCTCGAAAAAAATTTGTCATGTTTAATTTACTCGAAAAGTGCTAATACATATAAACTGGTAAAACAGTTCATACTAAGTTTTTAACCCAGAGTATTACTGATGTGTTCTTAAAAAAAAAATGATTATAACCATTATAAATTAATTAGTTATTAATTCAATTCTTTAAAGTTGAAAAAATAAATTTTTGTGGTTCAAGTTATTTAAAAAAAAACTTGCTATAAGACTAAATTAAAAAACACTTTTTTTTTTTTTTTTTTTAATTATTCACCTCCCCAAACTTACAATACTTACAAAAGAAAACAAAAAATAAGTTGACTATAATTTCTCACAGATTGAGGCTTCTAAATAATAATAATAAAAACGTTTTAAAATTACTTTTTTTTAAGTTTTAATTTCTAATTCATTTTTACTAAAACTCTTAGAAACTATTGAAAACAATGGCATGCAAGAGGTATTATTTTGATAAAATGAACAGTTATTCTATTGGAGAAGTGTTGAGTTTTGAAGCATTAGAAGGTGAAAAAAAGCGTAGTGGCCTAAAGATAACTCTTACTGGTGGCCAATCTTGCTGGAATAAATGGAGAAGATATATCTCTCCTCAGACTACCATCTTGATGATATGCGATCTTGAAGCTGGAGAAAATCGTCCAGAACCATTAAATAATTTTACAGGTTAACATTTTTGAAAAATACAGGTTTTTAAATCATTACTCTTTTTGTTCTTTTTGTTGTTGTTGTTGTTTGTATTTTGAATTGATTGAAGTATAACTTCCAATCAAATACATCAAAAAAAAATTTTCCATTTGAAATTATACTTCAACTTAATATAAGCATTTTTGACTTGATTAACCTTTTTTTTTTTTTTTTTTTGAAGTGAATTTGAACATTAATTGCTATACAGCAATTATTTTTCATTTAGCAATTGATGATCGTAATTGTATCTATGAATTCATGTGGAAAACACTGTATGCTTGTCCTTTATGCACTCAAGATGACTATTCAGAAGTTTTTTCTGAGTGCAAAAATGGCTATCAATACAAAACAAAGACTAAGAAAAATAAATGTCGAACAGCAGTTGGTGAAAAAGAATATTCTTTAGAACGTTTTCCTTGCAATTTAATAGTGAGTCTAAAATTTTTTTCAATATATATTAATGTAGCTGTTATTAAATTAAATATGTACAGTGGAGTAGTAGATTAGATATGTATGTACAGTGGAGTATCTAGCTCAATATATCCAATAAAATACAACTCAATAATCCCACACAATCCAACAGGCTTTACACAGTGAGCCATAAAGACCATCAGGTTCCAAATCTCACCACCTCAAACTTTTTTTTTTTTTAATAACTTAAGTTTGTATAATTGTTTTTAAGTGCAAACCAAATCTAAAGTTGATCAGAAGAGTTAGTAATTTAAGTTTTAAAAAAGTAAAAAGGACAAAAAATTTAGCATTAAAAACAAGGCAATCCACCAGTTTGGGCTCCTTTTTTTCTTTAAATAATTTTTAAGTGATTAGAAAAATTGTTAGACACGAAGCGGTGAAAATGGCGAATTCGAAACAGTCTGTTTGTGCAGTTCGTTCTGAAAAAAAGAAGAATATTCAAAATCATTATCAAAAGTACAACAATCCAAATAAAATCAAGGAATGTATTTGGAGTACAATTTAGAGTTTATTGTTTGCCCTGGCATTATTTTTTCAAATTGTAGAAGAAACGTATTTTTGCTGGAGAAAAGATCAAGCCCTTATTTGTCAAACTGGATGAACAAGGTATTTCAAGAACACAGCTTATTTAATTTAAATGATTAATACATTAAAAAAAAATTTTATAAAGGATATTTATCAATCATCTCATGGCGAAACACAAGCTGCAGAATCTCCAAAGAAAAAATATATGCAGTTATTGCTTTTCTCTCCTTGCAAGAGTTTTAAAAATAAATATTAAATTACTTGATAAGTAAATTTAAAAATGTCAAATATTCATGGATAAAATTCGATAAAAAAAAAATCTTTCTAAAGCTTTATAAGTTTAAATTATTTAAGAGCTCTATTTTTTAGGTCATAACAATTGTTGTTCTAGTCAGGTTGTTTTGAACCTAATAAATTTTTCAGCCTTGATCCCAAATCATGAGAGCAAGTTGTTTCAGGCATAATTAAAAACAAGATGGAGAATGAAGGCATTGAGAGAGGCCAGTCCCTTTCAAAATATTTACAGGTATTTTCATTATAAAATTGTTGAAAAAAGATTTAAACATTCATAGTCTGTATTATACTTTAAATTATATAACTTATAATTAAACATTTATTTAGATTGCTAACTTATTTGAAACATTTGCATTTTAAATTAAGTTAAGGGTTTGAAAATACTTTATTTTTAAAGTGGGAATCCATTTAACTGTTTGAACTAAAGACAATAAATCTTCTAGAAAGTCTTTAAAGCAGATATCAGATAATTCGTCTACTGTCGTTGAGAACAATGTAGTTAGCATGATGACATCATTGCAACAAGAAATTGAATCTAGATATAAAATAGAACAAGATGATTTTATTTGGAATGATGAAACTGTAACAAGAGATATAGTATTTATTCATGGCGCTTCAGAATTTATTCTCAATATTTTAATGGAAAGATCCTCTTTACAATATGGTAGGTGTATCCATTGATGGAGGTCAAGGATTTTTTAAACTAATTGTAAATGTCTTTGACAAGACCAATAAAAACAGCATGTGCTAACAGCAAATTCGGTGTATCTTCTCATTCTGGTAAATATGATTGCTTGTGGTGTGAAGGTGAATTTACCCTACAAAATGGTACCTCAAGTACCTTAGGTTCTCTTGATCATTGGTACAAGTTATTTATTGAAAATAGAGCAAAGTGACTGCTGATGAAAGATTTTAAAAATGTGGTTAGTCCTCGTCTTGTCACAAAACTTTTAGAAAAAGTAGATATTTTAGAAAGACATGTTTTAGCATCTCAAACTAATTTAATACCTATTGTTCTTTACCTCAGAAAATTTTCTAATGTTAAAGAGTGCACATTTGAAAAAGAATTAGGCAGCAATGTTTCTTCACTTATTGAAGAGTTCAACAGTTTTTTGGCCTACAGCAGTATGTAAAAACACATTTAAATGCAGAGCTGAATGTTACTTAGAAAGTGCATATAGTGGTTTTTCATATTCTCCCATTTGTAATAATGCGGTAGTGGTGTAGTGGTAAAACACTCGCTTCATAAGCGAGAGGTTCCGATTTCGATCCCCACCACGTCCCTGGTAGTACCGCGCTCAACTTGCTTCTCCGCGCAGCGGCCTTGTTTGTCAAGGTTCGTGTTTCGGAGTTATAGAGTTGAGAGAAGGTTATAACCACTATTAAGTAGCCTCCTCGTCTGTAGTGGCCTTCTTGGCCTTGAGGAGGTGAATAACAAAAAAAAAAAAAAAAAAAAAAAAAAATTGTGAAATTTAATTCTTGTTCTAGAATTATATGCTGAACAGACTGGAGAGGCTGTTCACAGTGCCTTTAGTTGGTCTCGATATAAGCGAAGGATTGGGCAAACAAATTATGGCAAACAATTGAATTCTGCCCCTGCCACTTTTTGCATAGATAAGTTGTAAACACCACACTATATAAGTAGTTCTTATTAATATTTTTGCATTTTGTTAATATTTTTGCATTTATCATTTTTTTCCTTGTTATTTTTACTTTGTATTATTACTATTAGGGGCTTTGATGTATTAGAAGTTTAAATCACTTTAATTTTAAAGTTATAGTAGATTATATTATATTACTTTAAATAGGTAATTAATAGATAATTAATTTAAAAGATAATAATCAAATAAGTTATATTTTTTCAGGGGGTAACTATCACTTTAAGGGGGTAAATCGGGTTAAAAATTTTTTTTTTTTTTTTGGTACTTCTGATCCACTTTTTGTTTATCTAATACAAATAAATAACATACTTAAGTAGCCTTTATCTTTAAATGAAAAAAAAATTAAAGGTGGGGAGATGCTAAAACTTGGGGGTCTTTATGGCACACAGTTTAACAATTTAGAACAAAAAAAGAATTTATTAAATAATCAATTAAAACATAATTTCCTTTTATGTTGTTTTTTGCTTGTTTTTGTTTGTTTGTTTTTTTGTCCTTTATCAAAAAATCAATTTAATTCTAAATAAACAATTTTACAAGCAATTCAATTTTTATGGGTCAATGCTATATTGAGAGTATTTCTATATAATTTCTTATTGTACTATTGTACTTTTTTTTCACACATACACAGGTTTATTGTATTTTTATTTCATAAAAATTGTATTTAATTATTTTGCTTATATAAGCCGAATCTTATAGGTCCTGTAAAATTTTGTTATGAATAAAGAAAATTTATAGCTAAAAAACTCATTTGCGTCAACTTTTTGGGTGTAAAAGTGTCGTTTTTTTTTTTCTAAAATATTGGATCCTACAATTGTTAAAAAATTTTTGTATTTTAATTTTTTGTGACTTTTTTTTTTGTGACTTTTTTTTTTTTTTAATTTTTTGTGACTTTTTGTGACTCTTTTTGTGAATTTCTTTGATTGTTAGCTGCTGTTGTTGTTGTCTTTTTTTTTTTTTTTTTTGTTTGTTGTTGTTGTTGTTTTTGTACATACATCAATTGACTTAAATAGATAAAACATGCACAGAGTGTACATACATCAACTGAATTAAATAGGTAGAACATGTGTAAATACATCAACATGTTCTGTTGCAGACTTCTTCTGAGCAATACTTAAAGGTTTTTTTATTTATATGAACTTCAGGTTGGTCTTTAGGCATCTGTATTACGTCTTTAATTTTGTCTCTACTAATTTGCAAAAGAGCTCCTGCTAAGGAACTAGCATCAAACCTTACTTTACCTTTATTTCCTTGTATTTCTCAGTCTCCACAAGCAGATTCACTTTCTTCTATTTTTTTTTATACTTACTCAAGCGCTCATACTCCTATATTATGTATCTCATCAACCCACTTAATCTTCAAAGAATCTGCTTTTTCTCCTTCTTGATAACTTTCAATGGATTTTGCCCATTTGATTTCCTTTTAACCGTATTAGTTTTCCGCAGACCTCCTTCACCATTAATACCAGCACTCATATTCCATCAACTTCAATTTTTTCATGATCTTTTCTTTATAAGCCGTGTTTCAAAAAATGAAAAGGAAAGCTGACTCTTTGGCAATTCCATTATATATCCATCATATTTCAATAACCATTCCTACCCACTCTCGTGATTCACTCTTGAAAGATGATGGTTGTTGAACATCTACAATAGTTTTTACGGCTCTACTATCAACTATTATTTGAATGACAACAATTTGATTTAATCTATGACTTCTTAAGAGCGAGTTAGCATTGTTTGTTCTCTAGGCACATTGCTCTCCTAACCATTTCCTGCTGCTTGGCACAATTTGCTGCTGCGTGCCCATTTTTTTTTATATTTAAAATATGTAATGTGTTTACAATTTGAGATAACTAAAATCATTCATAACTTTTTTTAATGTGGTGCGCGCAAAATCCTAGTTGGCATTTAGTAATAACGACAGAGAATCAGATACTATGACATACAACTGCTGACTTGAATCTCTAAATGTGTTTTTTATATGAAGTGGCAGTGGCTGCCCGTTAAATCCAGGTAGGCATTCAGCAATGATGTCAGAAAACTAGCTTTACTACTTTATAGCAATTAAAAATAAGAAATGTAACAATGTTACACAAAGAAAACTCTAGAATAAATTGTAATATGCTTAACAAAACAGTAATTAAAAGCAATGCTTTTATAACCAAATAATTATTAACGTAGCGTAACAGGATGCAAAAATCATCAAAATTTTGCCTACCTGACGTCAGGTTAGTACAGCACTTTTGTGCTTATCTAGATCCTTTGGATTTTGCAGGCTGCAGCGGTAACATTTACTCCCATCACTTCAACTTCAGATTCAGAGTGGCTCTTACTTTTGACAACATGTCACTAGTTGCTTTTGTGGCAATCTCCAAAGCTGTTTTTATTCAACAACTTTTAAACAGGAATCTAAATGAAAAGCTAGCATCGACATATTTTTTATTTTCTTTGAGTTTTATTTTTCTTAAAATGCATAAGCAGTGCTTTGCTGCAACACAGGATAAAGCACTGTCAACTCTATGCCTTGCATATTTGTTACCACTTTGGTTTTGCTTTAACTAAATTCCTGCATCAAGTGTACAGACTTCCACTTGTGGAAGTCTGTGCACTTTTTTTTGCAGGACATACTTTTTGAAAACTTCTGAAAAAATATAATTCTATCACATGCTTTCTAATTCGAAATCTTTTTCATAATTCGTTCAATCAGATTGAACGAATTAATTGGATTCAAATTTCCAATTTAATGCTGTATTTCTTGCAATGAATTAACAGATCGTTTTTGTAAAAACCAAAAAAAATACAAGATTTTTTCTCAAATTTATACAAAATATTAATCCACAAATATAGACATTGGAAAGTACTAAAACATTAAAAATATGAGAAAATTAAAGTTATTTATACTTATATAATTTTTATGGTTCAAAATAATTACAACCTTTTTTAAAAGTACAGCAGGACAATGAAAATTACCTGGTTAAAAACATCCAAAATAAAACTTACCAGTTTTTTATTAAACTCAAAGGAATTTGAATTAAATCATTTTAAATGCAAGTTAATGAAAATTTAATACTGCTAAAATGTAAAAAAAAAAAGACTTGGTTCCTTCATTATCTAGTGAGGTAGGGGTTGATATTAATTTCAATACCTTAAATACAAAGTGTATTTAATCTTTAGCATTTATTTTCCTATCATTAATTTTTTTTATTTCTTTATCACCATTAACAACAGTTGTAGTTATTTTTTCAACTGTAGATAAAAACAATATCTATATTATCTATATAAATCAGATCATGTATGTACATTCTGCTGCATCTGGTTAAGGTGTATATATATATATATATATATATATATATATATATATATATATATATATATATATATATATATATATATCTGTGTGTGTGTGTGTGTGTGTGTGTGTGTGTGTGTGTGTGTGTGTGTGTGTGTGTGTGTGTGTGTGTGTGTGTGTGTGTGTGTGTGTGTGTGTGTGTGTGTGAAAAGAAATTATATAAAAATTACAAAAGAAGCAAAATTATATAAAAATTTTATAAATAACAATTTTTTTTAAAAATAATTGTTATTTATAAAATTTTTATATAATTTCGCTTCTTTTGAGACCCAACATGATATACTTTTGAAAATAAAATTTTATATAATAATAGGGACCTGGCAAGTGTTCAAGGGTCTGGTGCTCCCCCTAAATCTAATAAAAATTTGAAAAAAATTTAATGAAGTACATATATATACATACAATGAATGTATGTATATATATATATATAAATAAACATACATACATACATATATACATGCATACATACATACGTGCATACATATATACGTGCATATTTAATATTTTAAAAAACGCTGTTGCTTGCGCAACGGTACCGTCGCTTTAATTTTTTTCTTAAAGTCACAGTAGTGATTTCTGATTGGTTGATTTTTTTTTCTTTTATTTAAAGAATGCATGCCCAAACCAATACCCTTAATTGATGTATGTATACTCACTGCGCCTATCCCTAAATCAGTGGATGTTGTATGCACACTCACTGCGCCTATCCCTAAATCAGTTGATGTATGTACACTCACTGCGCCTCTCCCTAAATCAGTCGATGTATGTACACTTACTGCGCCTATCCCTATATCAGTCGATGTATGTACACTCACTGCACCTATTCCTATATCAGTCGATGTTTGTAAATAATAAACGTAAATGTAATTTTCAATATACAAACAATATTAATAATTTTTAATAAAAATATTGTTAAAAGACATTTTTCAGATTGTAGGACTCGATCCGGGAATTCCGTGAGTTAAAAACAAATGAGAATCCACGATGCTATACGCACATATTAAAGTTGCAATTCTTTTAAAATTTGTACAAATACAACTTTCAAAACTAACCAATGATATTTGCAGTCGTGGCTTTAAATAAACCAATCAAACTTTACTACCATGACCTTAAGATAAAAAATTAAAGCAACGGTTCCGTTGCGCTAGACACAACGTAAAAAAAAATGTATTTTATATAATCTATGTATTACTATAACATTAATTATTTTTTGAATCAGGCTACTAGCATATCGTCAAAAAGTCCAAAGTTTACAACATTGGTGATAACAATTTTAATTGCTATTACTTTGATTATTGCTCTACTAATCATTCTGATCTATCTTATCCGAAGAAATCGTCACCTTCGTTCCAACTTATTTGCACCTGGTCAGTCATTTTCAAAAGTACAACATGAAGATGAAGATGAGCTGGTTGATAACATGCAAACTTAAATTTTTATTGAAATCAAAGAAATTTGAGTTCAATGATTTTTTACTTTTTATAACTGTTTTATAGTTTTATATTTGGCAGATATCTTGCCTGTCAAGTAGTTTTCAGTATTTTGAAATTTCTTTATTTTGGTGTTATTTGTGATTATATATAGACATAGTACCCCTGGAATGGTACCCCTGGAAATTTGACGTCTTCGGAAACTTAAACACTAAATATTATATTGATGTAACAGTTGTAATTTGTGGGTACAAAGTACTTTTTTTTAATTTATTTTGTAAATTAAAATTTAACAGTTTAGTTCAAGAAAAGTGGTTCTTTAAATAATTTGTTAATGAATTTTGTTTTCAAAAACATCAAGAGGTTTGGTAAAGATTAAAAAGATTTTAATTAACTTTTGAAATTAATTAAATTTTTATTAATTTAATTAGTTTATAAATTAAGTAATAATAGTTTAATTTTTACTTATTTATATTCATTCATATTTAGTTATTTATTCTTTTATTCAAAATTTCAATGTATCAATGTATATTTTTAACATTTAAAGGGGATTTATCTTTTAAGTTGTACATAAAGTTTTTAACTGTGCAAGTACTTGCATGTTGTTGCATGCAAGTTTTTAATCAAAAGAAACATCAGTAATTTAAAAAAAATGGTTGTTTTTTTTAGTTTGAACTCGTTTTCATCACAAATCAAACACTATGTTAATGATGCTTCATTACTTGTACATTAACTTCATTAAATTTTTTAAAACCTCATAATTTGACATAAATAACATAAATGTTTTTTTTATGTGTGTGTGTAAGTATATATATATATATATATATATATATATATATATATATATATATATATATATATATATATATATATATATATATATATATATATATATATATATATATATATATATATATATATGGGTCATTCCGTGCCAAGTGGTGCAAATTTTAATGAGGTCCCTCATGGACCATCTCAAATTTTATTGAAATTTTTTTGTTTTGTACATATATATGTAAAAGCATGTTTTGAAAATTTTAGATCAATATCTAATATGGTTCTTGAGAAAACGCTATTTAAGTAGTGGGCTATTTTGCATAAAATTTCACTCTACAAGAAAAAAGGTTTTTTTCATCATTTTTAACAGCCAATAACTTTTGAAAAATTTAGTTTTATACTTCAGTTATTATAAGATAGCAAGTGTGCTGTAAATACTTTGGAAAAAGAAAAAAAATTTAATTCTGGCATCTTAACTTTTTCCATAATGGCGGTCTAAAGTTGAGATTTTTCTTTTTAAAATAATGTTTTTTTGTGATTTTAATGATCTTAATCTTGAAAACTAATTAAAAGATTAATACAAATCAAATTGCCTGCTGATCTACATGTGGTGAATAAACATTTTTAAAAAAATCAGTTGATTAAAGAGCTGCATTTAAAAGTTATAGGTCTCCAAAATGAGTCATATCAAGATTTTTATAAAATTGATCTGTGATGCAAAGCATCTGTTACCTAAGATGGCACTTTTTTTTTTCATAAAATTTTTTATACGCATCAATTAAAGAGTGTTAATTTATAAAAAACAAAAAAATTAATGGGCGCTAATTTATAACCCCCAAAAGGTAGTCTCTAAAAGTCAGGTAAATTTTCCATAAAAAATTATTACTTTTTAAAAGTTAAGTTATTGTTTCATTTAATTCTATATTGCTAGTATGTCAATCTAAAAAGTACTAATAAAACCAAATAAATTGTTGTATTTTAGAACTAATTAATAATAAGTAATATGCCTGAGCTTTCTACTTACTGTATTGGTAAAGCATTAAATGAGCAGTGCTATCTATCTAAAAAAAGTAAACGCTAACAAGAACTGTCTACACTAAACCAAGAGCTTATTTCTTTGAGAAGCAAAATAAATCCCATAGATTTTATTTGTAGCTATCACGAGAAAGTTTACTTGTCGAGGTATGAGAATGAACATCGCAGGTATTGCTGTTATCCGTTGAACAAGCACACAAAAAAAAGTGAAAAGTAAGTTTCAATATTTAATATCTTAATTTAATAAAAATACCTTAATAACACTAAATAAATAAAAAAAACAATATTTAATAATTATTTCCGTTATTTTTTAGATTCTCTTAGAGTTATCATTCTTTCATATGCCAAAGATTTCGGTTTAATACCTGGTCAAAAAATTTGCACTAGTTGCAGAAAAGTTCTGAATTGCAAACATAATACAAAAGAAAATGAAGTCCAAGAAAAAGAAATTTATGTTGACAACAATACATTATAAGAAGATCTTAAAATCAAGTATTGCAAGTTTTGGATGCTCACCTCTCAAACTTGTTTCAAAAAAAGATAGAGTTGCATATGGAAAGCGTAAAATAGATAGCGTAAGAGCTCATACACAAAAGGCTGTTGCCAATGTGCTAGGTTTAGAAATAGCTGCAATTGGTGGAATTGAATCACCCTCAAAAAAATGTTTGAAAAAAACAAACACAGATTTAGACAATATTATGACTCAAATTAAGTCAAAATTTGAAAAAACATTGTCAAATTCTGAAAAAATCACACTTCTTACACTCACTCCAGACAGTTGGTCAATAGATAAAACTCAGAAGTTTTTTTTGACTTCAAAAAGATCTGTAGTACAAGCCAGAAAATTAAAGAAAAAAAGTGGAATACTATCAAAACCTTCTTCAAAATTGGGTAGAAAACTAAGCGAAGATGTAATTACAGAGGTTGTTCATTTCTATGAATGCGATGAATATTCAAGGGTTTGTCCAGGAAAAAAAGAGTTTGTTTCAGTTAAAGTAGATAGTATAAAGCAACATATCCAAAAGCGACTTCTACTAGTCAATATGAAAGAGCTACATATTGAGTTTAAAAAGAAATATAATTATCTTAAAGTTGGATTTTCAAAATTTTGTGAGCTAAGGCCCAAGTGGTGCATTCCTGTGGATAGTGCTTCTGGTCTGCATGCAGTTTGTGTTTGCCAGTACCATCAAAATGTAAAGCTCCTTGTACAGAAAACTCCTGGAAATGCTGATTACAAAATCTTATTGAAATTAATGGTTTGTAGCATTGAAAATAGAGATTGTATGCTGCATAGCTGCGATAAATGTCCTGCTAAAAAGGTTTTGTTAGACTACATTGACACTTTGTATACAGAAAATGAAATTAGTGAAGTTAACTTTTATCAATGGCAAAAATCAAATTACCAATGTACTTTAGTACCAGCAGCTCTACCTTTAGATGAATTTATTGAAATGGTTTATGAACAGTTAGATAGTTTACGAGAGCATCATTTTATATCCAAAAGTCAAGCCACCTACTACCAACATTTGAAAACTAATTTAAAAGAAAATCAAGCTTTGGTTCTTCTTGACTTTGCAGAAAACTATAGTTTTCTAATACAGGATGCAGTGCAAGGTTTTCACTGGAATAACAGCCAACTGTGCACCCCTTTGTTGCGTATTTTAAAAAAGATGGAAAACTTGATAGTCAAAGTTATTGTGTTATATCAGATCATCTGAAACATGGAACAGATGCTGTTCATTGCTTTATCGGTAATGTTATTGATAAACTTAAACAATGACAAACATTTGAACACATTATCTATTTTAGTGATGGAGCTGCATCACAATATAAAAATTACAAAAATCTTATCAACTTATGCTACCATAAACACGATTTTGACATGACTGCAGAGTGGCACTTTTTTGCAACATCGCATGGTAAAAGCCCTTGTAATGGTGTTGGTGGAACAGTGAAACGTCTTGTTGCACGAGCAGTCTACAGCACTAAACGATCCTATTGACACACCAAGCAAAATGTACAGCTGGTGTGTTCAACACGTCAAAGGAATATCTTTTTTTTTTTGTTGACAAAGTTTCAATAGAAACACATACTACAAACTTCAATTTGGAAGAGAGATATCGTTCTTGTTCTACAATACCTGGGACACGAAACCACCACAGTTTTATCCCAATGTTATTTACCTCAATAAAAATAAGAAGAGTCTCATTTGATAGAATTTTTATTAATAAAATTTCAAGTTACTCACCAGGAGAATATGTGGCCTGCGTTTACGATGCTCAATGGTATTTAGGAAATATTCTTAGTATTTCAGAAGAGCATCAAGATCTTAATATGAAATTCATGAAAATGTCTTTATGTAACAAGTTCACGTGGCCATGCAGAGATGATCTTGTGGGGTACCTCTGATGCATATTTTATGCAAAGTGCTATCTCTTAAAGTCCAGTCAAACAGTGGAAGATTTTATAGTATTGACTTAAAAGAAATCAATGAGGTTATTTTATTATTTGAGAAATTTAACTTTTTGTAAATTTTATTAATTTTGTTTATTTTCTTAAAAACATTTTGTTTGTTTTTCATTAAAAAAATATTGTATTATAAAGAGGGGAGGGGACAGAGGGGAGGGGACTTTATCTATTGGGATTTAAAAGTTCTTTATCTAAAGGGATTATAAGGCTATAAACATTGATATTTTTTAATTGATATTTCATAATAAATAACATTATATAATTCAATGCATTTATTTATTATGTCAATTTCAGAATTTTATGGAAAATTTACCTGACTTTTAGAGACTACCTTTTGGGAGTTATAAATTAGCGCCCATTAATTTTTTTGGTTTTTATAAATTAACACTCTTTAATTGATGCGTATAAAAAATTTTATGAAAAAAAAAAGTGCCATCTTAGGTAACAGATGCTTTGCATCACAGATCAATTTTACAAAAATCTTGATCCGACTCATTTTGGAGACCTATAACTTTTAAATGCAGCTCTTTAATCAACTGATTTTTTTAAAAATGTTTATCCACCACATGTAGATTAGCAGGCAATTTGATTTTTATTAATCTTTTAACTAGTTTTCAAGATAAAGATCATTAAAATCACAAAAAAACATTATTTTAAAAAGAAAAATCTCAACTTTAGACCGCCATTATGGAAAAAGTTAAGATGCCAGAACTAAAATTTTTTTTGTTTCCTAATGTATCCACAGCACACTTGCTAACTAATAATAACTGAAGCATGAAACTAATTTGTTTAAAAGTTGTTGGCTGATAAAAATGACAACAAAAACCTTTTTTCTTGTAGAGTGAAATTTTATGCATAATAGCCCACTACTTAAATAGCGTTTTCTCAAGAACCATATTATATATTGATCTAAAATTTTCAAAACATGCTTTTCACATATATATGTACAAAATCAAAAAATTTCAATAAAATCTGAGATGGTCCATAAGGGACCTTTGCACCACTTGGCATGGAATGACCTATATATATATATATATATATATATATATATATATATATATATATATATATATATATATATATATATATATATATATTAACTAATAAATTTAAAGATTATAAAGTTATGTCTGTTTACTATTATGTTAAAATATCTAAATATATATTATTACACAAAAAAAAAAGATTATTTTGATTAATTTCTTATTTTTATTTTGAATTCTAAAATAAGGTATGATTTTATTTCAATATTTGATTTTTGGTGTTACGTGTTGGATTGCTAGCTTTGTGGTTAGTGATTGGGTTGAAACTATATATGGCACCAAAATTCAATTTCAGCAAAAGTTAGGAAAGATCACAATTTCAAAAAAAAACGAATTATCTATTGCGTTCAAAAATATTGTAGAATTATCAGAAAATGAAGTAACTCCAAAAGGAATGATAGTTCATAGCTTCAGTAATTTTGGAAACACAGAGTATAAAACAATTCAAAGTCTAGACTATGAATGGGTGAATTCAATTGATCCTCCTCAAAATATATCTGCTGCTCGGCAAGAAATTTTTTTTTAGTGGTTTACTTTGTTTAATGTTTTATTATAAACTTTAGTTACATTTATTAATTATATACTTGCTACATCAACCAACCAATACTATATCTATGCAACCAAAGTAACCAAGCTAATAAAAAGTTAAGCATATTCTCCTAAAATAAACAACTGTGTTGTTGTTCTTTTTTGTTTTGTTTTTAATTAATTGCTTCCTTTATACCAGTTATTCAATTTATTTTTTTAATTGTATCATTATATTTATTTATTTAAAAATGTTAATAAATATGCAGGTTTAATATAAAAATGCAGGTTTAACTACATAAAAAATTAGTTGCCCAAATAACATATAAAGGCAGATAAAAGGTTTATAGAGAAAATCAGGTGTAATAAAATAACAAGCTCAATTAAAAGAGACAACCACAACAAAGAAGTTAACTAACTATAGCAGTATCTAACTTTTTGATGAATTGGATTTCCAATTTTGAGTAGTTTTCATGGTAGATTAGTGGCAAAAGATTATCCTAAAATAGATAAACCGTACAAAAAGGACATATTTCGGGTCACGGTAAAGAAGGAGGCATGAACTTTCTGGTTAAACACAGTACTCTGTGACAAGACCATTAGGTCCTCTTGAGGCACCTAAATAATTAAAAATAAATAAATAAAAATAAAGACATGAAAATCTGATAATGTTAGTAATTATATTAAAATCAAAATTTAAGAATCAACAAAAAAATAACTATATGAAATAGTTTTATGAAATTTGCAAAACATAACTGTGGCTTTTTAATATTCTCTAAAAGTAATGAAATGTAAATAAGCTCTTGTCAACCTTTGAATGTTTTTGGTATTTTGGTTGCATATATATATTTCTATATTATATAAATAAATAAATGTATTTATAAATAAATCAGTTGCATATACATATATACATATATACATATATATATATATATATATATATATATATATATATATATATATATATATATATATATATATATATATATATATATATATATATATATATATATATATATATATATATATAAATCAGTTGCAATGAATAATCTATGATTTTATTTTTTTGCAGAAAAAATATGACTGCTAAACTTGAAGGTCCTGCTGCAAAATTTTCTGTTAAGTTTCTTATATTTGAAAATCAAACAATTATTTCTGATATAAATTCTGGTGAAAAGTATGAAGTTTTCAATGGAACTGTTCAGGTATCACTTACACTTGAACATTGGCCTTTCTGTGGGATTGCAGAATCTTGTAGTTCTCTTGGCAAATATCTTGACTTTTATTTACTAGTGGAGGGTCTTTTAGTTGATCCTAAGCCATATGACCAACGTGGAGCTTCACTAAATTCTAATTTTCAACATCCACTTACATATGATTATGGAGGAAGTGATGTTACATACTCCAGACAGGTTACTAATCATTTAAAAAAATTGTAAGAACTCTGCATAGTTATAATTGTGTACATATGTATATGTGTGTGTGTGTGTGTGTATATATATATATATATATATATATATATATATATATATATATATATATATATATATATATATATATATATATATATATATATATGCACTGCACACACACATATAATTAAATCCATTAAATATTTTAATGTGTTTAAATATTAAAATATATTTAATAAATACATATATTTGTATATAATCATTTTATTAAAAGAGGTTTGTAATTATTATTAATATTTTGATTTGAGTTAACTAAAACTAGTTGTTAAAAATGTTGATCTCCTAATATAGGACTGAATATTGTCAACCTACCATTGGTAGGTTGCATATGATGATCAATACCATATACCTTTAGAAAAATACAGATTTAGTGTTATTAGTCATTAAGGTGAAATTCTAGGCAAAGATGCTTAGGCAATAAGTATGGTTAGCAGATTTAATCATAGATTAAGATTATCCACTAAATAGAAAAATTAAGTTGTTTAAAAATATTTGTTGTTATATTTGTTGGGAGCATTCAACTGTTTTTCCACAAAAACTTTGCTTTTCTGACCGGGACAATCATTTATGTTTTCAAGAAAGTTCTCCATTTATAATAAATAATGAGAATTCTTCTAGAATGTTCCTGAGCTGTTAAAATTATTCAGAAGGTCCAAGACTTTTCCAGAGTATTCTAAAACTTTGAAGAAACCTTTAGATCTTTGAAGAAATTTCTAGAACTGTTCAAAAGTCATACAAATATAAAAAAATAGGTGACTCAAACCAACATTTCAGTTTGTGTTATAAAATGAAGAAATAATTAATTGTATTTGAAGCAGTTATTTTATTGCATAAAATTTTGTTATTTTATTGCATAAAATTAATGCATCTACAGCATAAAAACTTTTAAAAGTTTGCATGTGCAGATGCATTAAGTGTAAACAATTTATAGAGACAAAATAAAAAAAAGGTTTTTGTGGAAGCAAGTCATGAAATGTGCGAAACCTAAAAGGCATACTTCAAAATGCCTGTTGAAAATCAGGGCAAGTCCTGGTTACTGCGTTTCACATGCAAATAATGTAAAAGAACTCTTGATGGTAAGTTGAGTAATTGCTTTATGATGAGATGTTTTCTACCTCGAAAAGTTTCATTGAAAACTTTTTATATATACTGGTCTACAATAGGAAAATATGTTTTATTTGAATAATATACCCTGTTTTAAGTGATATGTGAAATTCCGTGCCTTCAATTCTATATAATTAGTTATAACACATGTTAAGTTACAGTTATAACACATGTTAAGTTACAGTTATAACACATGTTAAGTTACAGTTATAACACATGTTAAGTTACAGTTATAACACATGTTAAGTTACAGATTAGTACAGAAGAGAAAAAAGAGCCATGAAATTTGCTTTCTGAGAAATTTGGCAACAATTGATGGACTACTCAATTAACTGCTACTTCTGTATTGTTGATTCCGCAAAACATTTCTCAGGCATGAATGTACCTTAAATCATTTATCCAGACATGACAAAAACAACTACCTATCAATTCTAATAGCTCACTGTCTCGAAAAGGACTACACCAGTGTTAATATGTTGCCCAAAGTATAACTATGGATAGGAGGTCATCTGAGACTTCAAAATTGTGTCATTCCTCGTAAACCTTCAAGACGGTTTCATAAATTTTCCTTGTTTTCATTGTTTTTAGGATAGCTGTAACACTAAGACACACTATTGCAGTAAGGACTGGCTACAGTCTTTACTGGAACAAGTTCTCTAGGCAGGAGCAATATAAAGTTGGAGCTGCTGGTAGAACCTCAGAAATGGCTTATGCCACCTCTGTACATTAAGTTAGGCTTTATCAACCAATATTTATTACTCTTGACAAGGATTTGGCACCTTTTAATTACTTCCAAGATCTTTTTCTTTGAAGCTAATCAAGGGTTGATATTTTTGTTTGACATGAAAATTATAGAATAACAAGTTTGTTAAGCAACACATATGGATAGTGACTAAGAATTCTTTTGTTGCACTTGTTCATGGCTTCCTGGGTTTTCCTGCAGTTGTTCCTTTACAAAGCTGAAAACTATGTGGAGTTAGTTCAGATTTTCATAAAGTATTGCGGCAAAATGGAATGCAGAGTATCATTTAAAGTCTATATCCATGAAGCTCAATAAATTTAAAGGAAACATGGGAGCTTCCTCAGAGGAAAAATGCAAGCGCTTTCACCTTTTTTTCGATTTTAAAATGGAGGTTTTAAATCCTAGTTTTTTAAACTGCTTTTAGAACAGTTGCTAAATCACGGACTGTAATTTTTTAAATAATAGTTGCTGAGTAATTCTTTAAATTTTATTAAAACACAAAACCAATAAATTCAAAGAGTTTGTATCTACTTAACACTTTCATTTTTTTTTTAATTTTATGTCTCCACACTCTTAAGGATTACACATTTTCTCATTACTCTATTTTTTAAGGATTGCACATTTTCTCATTACTCTATTTTTTAAGGATTGCACATTTTCTCATTACTCTATTTTTATCAATTTTTGTAAACGAATCAAAATATTAAAACTGATTTTTATTATTTTATTGTGACACATTTCAAGAAATCGCAATCTTTATCACACCAAAGCGGAGGTTTTATTCTTCTAGTGTTTAAACTATATATTAACTCTAAACTGTGTATCTTGTATTGTGTCCTTTCTGTTTAAGAAATTGACAACTACTCGTTCAAAATTTATTTTACTATTAAAATAAACATTTTTTAGGTTAAAATGAAATTTTAGTTCTTATATTTTAATATTCTCTAAAAACACAAAAACAATTAACAATGTTTCAAAACATTTGAAAATATTTCTTAATTAATATTTAGTATAAAGTGCTACACACAAAAAACATGGATATTTTGGTTAAAATATTTGCCCAATCTTATTATGCTTGGTATGGTTTCAACAGAGAAAATTTTGTATAACCTTCACAGAGTTTTGTCTTAGAGCCTATAGAAAGTTTTATTGCTTACCCAATCCATGTTTTGTTGCTACAGTCCTGTAATACCGGACTATGTACATATCATACTGTGATATGATATAATCATCCAATGTATGATTATATAATTCAAAAACATGGATTAGAATGACAAAAACAAATTCGAAATATGTTTTACTTCTAACCAGCTGATAGCTTATCGCAGGGTTTAACATAGAGAAGTGAATACGACTGCAGAATGATAACCAAGATGGTTGGTAGAGAGAACAATTAAAGACGTTAGTGCTGCAAGCACTAACGTCTTTAATTGAGTAAAGTTTATGGGAGAAAGTCTCGTCATGGCATGGTGTTACAGAGTAAGAAATCCAGATTAGAGATACCAAAAATAGACAGCAAGAAAGATTTTATTAACAGTTAGGTTAAACAACTTTGTATTGTTGCTGTTTAACATTGATTCATTACAGTTTACATTCTTTTTAATTTGTAATACATTGCAATACATTACACTAACATTGGGTATTTATGTAGTCTTTCTAGTCAGAGTTGGGACCTGTAGACACTGTCCATAAAATAAAAAGTGAGGTTTTTTTAAACGAGTACATCAAAACGCAACTTTTTAGACATGTACAGGATCTCCAACTTAATATTTTTTACATTTTGACCCACCCTAATATATATATATATATATATATATATATATATATATATATATATATATATATATATATATATATATATATATATATATATATATATATATATATATATATATATATATAATTATATTTATATATATATATATATATATATATATATATATATATATATATATATATATATATATATATAATTATATTTATTTATATATATATATATATATATATATATATATATATATATATATATATATATATATATATATATATGTATATATATATATATATATATATATATATATATATATATATATATATATATATATATATATATGTATATATATATATATATATATATATATATATATATATATATATATATATATATATATATATATATATATATATATATATATATGATGAAGATTTAACAAGATCAGTAATGTGTTTTTTAATCTTTTCTCCCTCTTTAGTTTACAACTTTCTCTGCAACTCTAAACGCAGTTGAAGAAGATATTGCAAAATTAGTAATATCACTTCCTAAATTACCAATAACACTTGCCACCATTGCAGTGTGTTATCTAGCTGCAAGTCTCTCACCTATTGCTGTAAGAGCAGTTTTTTAAAAATATATTTTTTGGTAACAAAACAACAGAGGCAGTTCTTTTTTTATATCTGCTACATATTCACAGTCAGAATTATCACTATTTGAAGAGTTTTCTAAACCGTATACCATTGTTTAGTTTAATTTCCATTTTCAATATGGAACACAATTTTTTGTGGGATCTCTTAATAATGTACGTAAACCTTTTATCATTTGTTCCTTATTCTTCCCATCCTATTTCCAAGTTGGTCCAAGATAAACTTTAACTTGTATTAGTTGTTTACCATTATATCAATCTTCTTTCTTTAAAATGCAAAATTTATTCATTGTTTAAAATAAAGATAAAAATAAATTTGTTGATAAATTTTGAATTCATAATTTAACTGATATTTTCCAAGGTTATGATAGGGAATCCTGCAAGATTCCATGGCCTTACCAATTTAGACATTACACAATAGTCAGCTTGTGGAGGGCAGCTGAGCTCAAATGAATTAATTTCGAAATGACACCTAATTAAAACTGTTTTCTTTACTTTGGGATTCGAGTTTCTTAGATATAGTTAGTATTGCAAAACCTCTATGCCAGTAGGAAGTTTAGAACATGAAAGATTTTTTCTAACTAGAATTACTTCAGCCTTATTTTGAGTAATATTCAACTTCTTTTTTGTTGGTTAAGTTTTTTTGAGTTAATTAGTTACTGAAAAGATTAATGATAACCAAAATATAAAAAATAAGTTAAAAATCAATTTGCATACACAAGGTAAAATATAATTGTTCACAAAAAGAAACAAATATATGTGTATTTAAAATATAACTGAAAACACATTAAAATGGTACATAGGACAAAGGTAGTAAAAGATAGTAAAATAAATCAGTTAGTCCGAAATGTGGCAAAAAACGGGCAAAAAATGAACTTTGGACCCATTGAGGGAAGTCATGGAGTGACCTAATCATGAAAAAAAAAATTTATTAGTATTATCAAGGTTGGGGCACCTTATGAAAAACAATGTTAGTTGAAATTCAAAAAAATCATTTTTTATAATATATAATATATAATATATATATATATATATATATATATATATATATATATATATATATATATATATATATATATATATATATATATATATATATATGCTGTTTTGTGCATATACTGTGTATATATATATATATATATATATATATATATATATATATAATAGATAGATATATTTATATACATAAACAATGGATTAAACCACAAATAATATTTAGATACATTAACTTTTTTTTTTTTAGTATCTATTGAACAATACATGGTATTATATCAGAGATTATCCCAAAATGATAAAACAAGACAATCAAAACGTAGTTGTTGTGCGATTCCCAATATTTAAGACCCCCATTACTTACAAGTTCATGGTTAACACAAGCTCCTATAATTTTACAGCTATGAAAAGTTCTTCTCTTAAAAGGAAGAATTTTGAATTTGTGTTTGGTTTGCTGTTTATTGCCCTAATTTTTTAGCATAATATTTTTAGTAATTATATTTTTTTACTGCTGTTGATAAAATATTTATATAAATAAATTATATTTATGAAAATAAGCTTATATTTCAATAAATATGTATTTACATAATGAAAAATTTATTAAATGTTTATACATGTTTTTTATTATAATGCTTAATTACTTATATGTTGCATAATTACTATTATGTGCATAGTTATTATTACATTGCATGATTACTGTTATATTGCATAATTACTCTCATTATAATGCATAATTATTATTATTTGCATAATTATTATCTTGCATGATTACTATTACATTACATAAATATTTTTATTTGCACAATCGCCATCATATTAATTTAATTTTTTTTTTTTTCATTTAAATAATAAACAATAAAGTAGTTTTTGCATTTTTAAATCTTTACAAATTTGCAAGACAGTGTGAAACTACAATCTGGGTGACTGTTTTCAATTTCAAAAACAAAAACTTGATTAATGTATATTACTAAAGAAGTCATGGGAAAAGATAGAAGTTTGTTAAAACTTTTTTTCCCTCTGAGCTAAGTGGCTTGGGTTTCGATTAGAACTTAATAAATTAATTATGAAAATTGTTTGAAAACGAATAATTGAAAGTGATCAAAATGATTTATAGACTTTTGTATTTGAAATTTTTGAATTTATTAAAAAAAATTTTAATGGAATTGATTAGAATGGAATTTTTTTTTTTTTTTTAATAAAATTTTAAATTAATTTTTGTTTTTCTTGGTTACACACATGTACTATTTTATATTTTTAAATGTTTTTTTGATGTCGTTTTTTTTGTTTGTTTTTTTCCGTTTTGTTTTTGTTTTTTGGTTGCTGTTTTTCTTATCTTTTATTTTTTTTTACATTAAAAAAATAACTTTTATCTTTAGAATAAATGGCGTTTAGTTGTTTTTCTAAAGTAATGAATATTGCATCAAAAAATACCCACTATTTTTGTAATACGGTTTTTAATAAGTTATGCAATTCTCAACTGAATAATATGAAAAGTTATTTTTCCACTGCTATGGCAACTATTCAACCTATCGATGATAAAACTACTGATTATGGGAAAATTTTAGAAACTGTTAAAAAATGCTCTTCTCAAGATATTTCAGATAACAAAGTGTTTGCAGTAGTACACATTGGTGGTAAACAATTTAAAATAGCAAGCAATGATGTCATAATGATTCATAAAAAAATAGAAGCTGAGTGCGGTGATATTATACGACTAGAAAAAGTTTTGGCAATTGGGGGGCGCAACTTTACTCTTATTGGTCAGCCCCTTTTAAAACGTGACTTGGCAACTGTTGAAGGTGTTGTAGTTGAAAAGACCAAAGGTGAAAAAAAAATTGCATTTAAAAAAAAGCGTAGAAAGAACTATAAAAGATGGCATGGTCATCGTCAGGATCTTTCTGTAATTAAAATCAAAAAGATTTCATTTGATATTGAACAAGTTTGATGGTTATTTTAGAATAAAATTTCTTTATTATTTTTTTTTAATCTTATAAATGTCTCTGATTATTTATTATTTAATTTATTTGACCTAATATTATCTTAAAAAAATAAATTTAGAAATAGCTTATAATTTTTTTTTAAATAAAATTTTTTCAAATTTTATTTGGAAACAATTTTAAAAAGTTCTAATTGTATTTTAGAAGTAATCTAATCTTTATTATTAGAAATCAATTTAAAATGTATCTATTATTAAGTAACACATTAAACAAAAAGTTATGAAATAAAACCACTTATGAAGCCGTTAAATAATAATATAAAGATATATTTTTATATAATATATTCTTTTTAAATTAATTTAAATACTACAGTTAATTATTTTTTAATCTTCATCAAATAATATTTTTAAAGAATTAGTAATCTTATGGTAAAATATCAATATGGGTAACTCGATAAGTCCTCATATAGAAAACGCTAAAAAAACAGGTATCTGCTCACTTAAAGATATGAAGCTTAAAGAGGTACATCTTAAATAAGTATCACAGGTTTTTGTTGATTAATATTTATTTTATTTTTTTTGCCTTTTTTTGTATGTGTTTGTGCGTGCACGTGTGTGTATGTGTGTGTGTATGCAATATACTAGATATATGCAATATATCTACACTATACTAGTATATATATATATATATATATATATATATATATATATATATATATATATATATATATATATATATATATATATAAATGTATATTAGATATCCTGTGTCATTTTGTGAGATGCAATAAAACATTTTATATGATCTCCTTGGTTCATAAATATGAATCATACAGAATTGCTTAAATTATATAATTTAGAATTACTTTTGCATTGACTACTTTTCATTCTTATATCATTACATTTGACTCTCTTATTATTACTTTTCATTCTCGTATCACTGCATTTGTAACTAGAGCAGTTATAAAAGTTGTTGTTGTCAGAATTGTATTGTTATTTATGTTTTTGATTTTCTCATAATATGTCATAATAATATGTAATGATTTTTTTAACTTTTAACCCTTTCACTCTCTGTTACCCACACAGCGGGTCATAACTAACTTTAGAATTTTCCCTGTGATCCGCTGTGCGCACCATGTAAATGTCTGTCTTTTGCACAGTGTTTTGTAACAATAATGTTCTTAACTAGAATAATAAATACATCACTAACTATAACACAAAGTATAGCTTTTTCAAAAAAAGATACCTACAAAAGAACTTATTTAAATATGAACAAAATTTTAAAAATAGTAATGACAGTCAAAATATATCTTCAGTCAATCTATAATCTATCTTTCAGTCTTCAAATATTCACCTTTTGTCAAAATCTTCTTTCAAAAGATACATTGTGGTATGTAAAATCTTCTTATAAGAGATAATTTGTAATGTGTAAATATCACAATATATCTTATGAGGTTGAGTTTTCAAAGAGGTTCGCTTATTATTTTAGATATCGCATGGTTTTAAAGTAATAAATAATCCAAAGTAGCAGTTTTGACTCTATGAATGTAGCGTAAATATCGTTGGGAGTAAATGAATGGAGTAAATGAGTTGAATTAAGCTTATTGTTTATTTTGCTTTATTGATTGTTTTTTTTTTTATTGAGATTTATGGAAAATTAGGGAGAAACTGATTATAAATCAAACTTTATATAATAATGGAGTAATTTTAATATTATAAAAACAAAAATTCATAAAGTAAAAATTGTAATGATAGGACTATCCATTAATCCTATACTATGATGATAGGACTGTCCATGAGTTGTAATGTATGGAGATAGGACTTCTCATGAGTTGTAAACTATGATGTTGGAACTTTCCAAAGTTGTTCCGTTTCTCCCATTTGTCCTCTTTTGTTATTAGTCTTGGGTATTTTTTTTGTTCTTGTTGTTTCGCTTTATAATAACTACTCTTGTATTTTTAGTGTTTTTAATAATGTCATTACTTGTTTATTTGGTTTGATCTTTAGCTGCCACTTGAAATTACTAAACTGCCAAGTTCTCTACGCACATTGGACTTGTCGCATAATCAGTTAAAAGCGCTCGGCCCATTAATTGGTCAGTTTACTTCTCTTAAATCTTTGTCTGTGAATCACAATCAACTCAGTAAGTAACAAGTGATGTTTTGTAACTTTTTATTTTTTAAATTATTAAAATATTTGTTTTAAATACCATGCTTCGTTTTTAGAAAAGTATCATGCTCCATATTTTTTTTAAACGCATCATTTTTAGAGAAACTACCCCTTGAACTCAACGGTTTTTTAAAGCTCGAAAACTTATCATTATCTGCGAACATTTTGACCACGTTTACTTTGAGCTCAGCATCTAAAATGAACAATCTCAAAACCATTAACATAAATAACAACAAACTAAAGGAATTTCCTGAATGTCTTTGTCTTTTACCAAATATTGACGTTGTCGATATATCTAATAACTTCATATCTAGTTTGCCTACAAATATCGGAAACCTGAAAGCTATAGAATTGAATCTTAATAAAAACAAGCTGAATTGCCTTTCAGATGAACTCACAAAATGCGAGCGTTTAAAAGTTTTAAGAGTTGAGGAGAACTGCTTAGATGTGAATGCGTTTACTGAAAATATTTTGAAAAACTCAAAATTTAGTGTGCTCGCATTCGAAGGAAATTTATTCACAATGAAGCAATTCCAAGAATTGAACGGGTATGATGAGGTAAGGAGTATTATCTTTAGGTAGCTCCATTTAACTCATGGCCATAGTGTTTTAAGGAGTGTAATTTTTTAATTACCTTTTTAGTATATTGCTCGATATTCCGCTGGTAAGAAGAAACTATAAGCAGTTATTACCTATATTTTAAATGTGCTAACCATTCGGTTTTTTCCTAAATTAGGTATTAGTTAAGTATACATCTTAATAAATGATGTCTATTTTTTAACATTTTATTTTTTAACATCAACTACGTTTATTTAAAGAGAGTTTTGTAAAAAAATATAAATAAAGTAGTATAATAACAAACAGAAAAACTTTGAAATTTTGTGGTTGCTAAGTATCGTTATTTATTTTAGCGAGGCGGCGTTGGTTGCAAAAAATACATTTTTACAACACCTAATATGTAAATTGTTTTCTTTTTTTAAAAATACATCTATAATTTATCGGTATATTTCTAAATTTGAAAATTAAGGCACGGTAATTTATTTCAGTACTTTTTTGTTTCAACTTGAAAATGCAGAAAAGCTAGGCTTTTTGAGATAAATCTTTCCAAAAAATAATAGGTACTTAAAAAAATTTTCCGGTTCCGGCCGGAATTTATTTTTATCTTAATTTTTCAAGACAAGTGAACAATTAAATCAAAAAATCATTGTCCTACAGATGAAGAACCATATGTAAACTTTGGTAAAAAATACAAATTTCAAACGAACACAACGTAGTTTTATTTGCAATAATCAATTATGTAAGGATTTCTAGAAGTTTAGGAATATTGTGTTGAGTTGCTATCCAGTTTTGGAGAATAAACTCTTTTTTCATCAAAAATGTTACTTGCTTTTAAGAATGGTTTAATTATAAATATTACTTAAAATAATTAAAAAATATAGGATGTCTAATACAGTAAATATTTCAATTTTAACCTAAATGAAAAAATAAAAAACAAAAATAATTTTAAATACAAATATTATGCTGGTTTTTTCTTTCAGTACATAAAATTATAAAAACAACATATTAGATTTAAAAGAAACAAAAATCAAATTTAACATATCAGTTATACTGATATGTACTTGGCTACGAAAATTCAATTATACCCCTATTGAATTTGACATATTCTATTAAATTCTTTTGAATTTGACTGAATCTTTCATTTCCTTAATTTTAGTTAATGCTACTTAAAGTTATTATAATTTTTTTTAAAGCTTGAAATGTTTGTGTGTATGTGTGTGTATATATATATTTTATATATATATATATATATATATAATATATTTATATATATATATTTATATATATATATATTTATATATATATTTATATATATATATTTATATATATATATATATATATTTATATATATATATTTATATATATATTTATATATATATATATATATATATATATACATATATATACATTTATATATATATATATATTTATATACATTTATATATATGTATATATATATGTGTATATATATATATATATATATATATATATATATATATATATATATATATATATATATATATATATATATATATATATATAGCAGCGATGCTAGAGTGCAGGCTTTCATTTACAATCTTGAAGGTAAAAAATTGCATAAGAATAATTCTTGTTCCGGCCGTAATTTTGTTAACAAATCCGGTTCCGCCCGGAATTTAAAATTTCCATTTCGGTACACCCCTAAATAAAACTATTTGATTTATTTATAATAAATATAAAATATTTGATTTATATTTTTTAGATTAGATGTTTCAATGTAATAGCTGCTTATAATATAAACATTTTATACATACGTATTATAATGCAAACAGAGCCTTAATTCTTCATTTTTCATACATCGACAGACAAATAGGTAGAACATGAAAGGAGCGCCGCTACATTGGCTGAGGGTTTTGGCAGGCAATCTATCAATTTCAAAGCAATTTTTTATTTAATTTTATTTTTTGCGGGGGATTTTTTCCTAGAACCAAATGTTTATTGGATGAATTTAAGCGTAATTAAAAGATTTTTTCAGAAACCTGGTTTAAACTAACGAAAAAATTTAATTTTGTGTTATCAAATTATTTTACAGTTCATCAAATGCGTGATGCTGGCGTTGGCCGTAGTTTGAACGTCATTGATGGAAAATGCGCTCAAACAAAGCTACTGTGATAAATTATTTTTTAATCAAGGTTGACTTCATCTAACAAACATTTAAAATTTCAAAATTTATTTATTGCGAAGTCATTATCACTAGGGAAGATACTATAACTCAAAATAAGGTTTTGATTTTTTTTAAGGTGCCTCAAGAAGTCCTAAACGGTCTTATCACAGAGCACCGCGGATGAGCATTTAATAGAAAGTTCACGCCTCCTTCCCAACCGATGTCGCAAAACTTGCCCTCAGGTCGCAAAACTTTGCCCACGGCTGCTCGATATAACACAGATATATATATATATATATATATATATATATATATATATATATATATATATACATACATACTCCTCAAAGCAATAAAAATATGCTTCTTCATCAATTCTTTCCTCACTAAAAATCAATTGCAAAAAATTAAAAGAACTCAAAAAATTAAATTTCTTGGAATGGCTATTGACACAAATGTTACTTTGGTAGCCAACATAAAGACTATCAACACTTAAATATATAAAAATTTAGTGGAGAGTGGGGTATTGCAAAACAGCTAAAAGGTCGTCCATAAAGTACGTGCGCTCGTAGGGGTAAGGTGGGGATCTTTAAATAGCGTACAAAAGCGTATGGGAAGGTGGAGAGTGCAATTTAAAAGTACCGTAATACTTTGGCCAGCGGGGTTACTTTAGCCATTTTTAAAAATTTTAATTAAACATCTGTAACTTTTAAACTGTTAAGTAACGTTTTACTATTTAAAATAGTAAAACGTTACTTTACTGTTTAAAAGTTACAGATGTTTAATTAAAATTTTTAAAAAAGGCCAAAGTAACCCCGTGTTACGGTACGTACTTCGTTTTTTTAATTTATCACAACTAACAAGTACTTCTTAATAACTAAGTATTTTTAAAAAGATAACAACTTTAAAAAAACAACATCAAAAAATACCCACATCTTATCATTGTTGTCCATAATTCGCCAGCTAAACAATAGGAAAGTTAGTTTTCTGACTAAAGATCCTAGTTGGCCAACATAGAAGTATGCATGGTATAGGGAGTCAAGGGTATATTGTTTCTCTATGCACACGCATGCTACCCCTTATACACTGGCCGTGAGTAAAGCGGACTTGTATTTCAGGAAACCCTTTTTTGAGTTCGCAAAAAACAGGTCTTAACAGTGTCCTAGTTAATGGATCGGTGCCCATCCCCCTCCCCCATCCCAAAATAAATAAATAAATTTACCGCTAGGTATTGCGAAAAAAAGCTCCTTAAATTTGAAAAAAGGCCTCTAAATTGGCTGCCTTCCCCTCCCTCCCTCCCCCCTCCTTTAAACTTTCCCCCAGCCTTTAATAAGCCTTGCATAAAGTGCTTGGATTTTATTCTTCATTTGAGGTATAAAATGAAAATTAAAATGTATACGCCAAAAACAGTTTTAAAAAAATTATTTGTAAATTTAAGAAAGTTTTTTTCTCTTTAAAATCTTTTTTTTTTAAATACCAAGAGGAGTAATGTATCAAGATAATATGTTTGTCTCTTAAAGGTTGTAAAACTTTAAAAAATTTATTTTGTACGCGTATAGTCAACTTAAACGCGCGCATAAACGCGTAGACGCGCATCGAGGTAAAGCTAGGAGTAGAGAAAGGCAAACCAAATACGATTATCACATTTAAGCTCAAACTATATTTAGTCATTATCACTCTGTCCTCCCAATCATGTAATGTTTGCGGAGCTAAGCCCAGTAAACTTAATAACCCAGCATTGGTCAGGTCTAAACCAGTTGATATGCCCAAACAGGGTTTTGGCAACACTAACGATGGGAACACTGCCAGAAGGGCATTTGAAAATGCTGAAACCTTTGCTGATATAACGGAAGTGGCAGTAGATGTAATTATTAGATTGAGGACAATCCTAATATCAGTATTCTCCTGTTATGAATTGAACTCTGAAAGTTTTTTTCCAGTATTCTTTAAAGCTACGGCTCTTATACTCAAAACCTATTGTTGGTATATGAATTCTCCAACTGTTTATAAGCTCTTGGAACATGGTGTGCAGATATCTGAGGCATTAAAGCTGCCAATTGGTTACTACTCTGAAGAGTCACTAGGAAGTTGAATAAGGAAATTTGCAAAGCTTGATTGAACCATATAACCAAAATATCTAGAATGAATGTATAAAAAACCAGTACCAATACCTCTTGGTTAGAAGTGATCCTGTTATATCAAACATTTTTTTGAAAAAGTTCAAGTTTGAAAATGGAAAAAAACTTACCCCAAACTTTTATCTTTGTTAATGCCGTAAAAATGAAATAAAGCTAAATCGCATTTACACGCGTAAATGTTTAAATACAATGACGCGTTGTACGCGTCATTGGTATGCGTAAAATTTATTTTAAACAGCAAATTTAAATTTTTTGACCTAAAATAGTATTGATGTATTACATGTTTATATATGATAGTTATATAATATTTTCTGTTTTTTCACCTTTCTGACTCACTGTGCGTCGTTAGTGTATTACAAGGTTCTGTATGCCTTTTTTTATGTTGCAATTATAGAGTTTTATCTTTCTTTTATCATAATAAAAGGCAGATAAAACCCTAAAAATTAATAGATAACAAGTTAGGTTATGTTGTTATGTTTATAACAACATAATTTATTACTAACATTTATAAGGTTAGTTTTATTATTTTAAATCACAAGACTTTTAAATCTCGAAAAGCTGGTTTTATAAAACTTTGTAAGGTCATAATATTTGAACGCTGAGTGATAACACTATGAAACTTAAAATTTACGATGAATATAAGTCTAGTTGAGAATAGTACTAAAAGTATTTTATCAACTTGTTCACGTTGGGGGAGGGGGGCGGAGGGGGATTAAGTTAAAGGGCTTTTACGTTTCCAGTCTCCAATCATTGGAATTTTTTTGCAGAGCATCATTATTGACGTAGGTATAAACATACAAATGTTTGGAGTTTGCTCCATGTCTGGAAGTTAGCTATCTCAAACACTAAACAATCCTAGATCCGTCACTGCATATAAATAATAATTAATATGATTAATATATTAATGTTATATAATTTTGACCATAAAAATAATATAATAAATAAAAAATTTTCATAGTAAAAAAATTAAATTTTTTTACCATGAAAATTAAGAGGTAGAACTATATAGTTTTCATGTACCCATATGCTATTTTGTCT